ACCGGGTCATGTGATAGCATTTTGGTAGGCAAAGGGGGGGCGAGCAAAGAATAAGGGTAATTTATTGGTAATATGACATGTATTCATCCTATTTATTTTTGGGTAAAAAAGGACTGGTATGAGTAGAACTGACGTTTTGATTGAATTTCACATAGTCTTGCTTTCCAAAAGTTGTTATAATACCAGTTTTTCATCACCTTAAACGAAATATGGTGAATACATCTCATTGAACTGATTTAATGGTAGTTTCGAAACTCTACTTTTATATGAAAAATAATTTATTGGTATCATGAGGCCTACTTATTTCATTCGTCCGTCCTTGAGGCATCTTTAACCACCTAAAGTAACTAAGTTCTTATTAAAGAATATGAAATGTTTTCCCCCTATTTCGTTCAAGGTGATGAAGGACTGATATTTGAATTTTCCTACAATCATATGAATAGACTTTTCGCTAACATTGACTTTCACATATTCTTGTTACCCAAAATACGCCAAATTGCTACGAGCGCCTGTGAATCACAGGGCAGATGTGAATTTCACGCAAGGCCAGACATTTTTTCATATCATATTCTGTGTTGGGTTTGCCGATTAAGCAATGTTATATTTGCTATACTAATCAATTACACTATTTTATTTTCATTCATAAGATGGTTTTCGAGACTACAAATAAAACAAACATATGAGATGTATTCACCCTGTTTCTTTTGAGGTAATGAAGGACTGATAGTTGAATTTTCCCACAATTACATGAAAAGGCCTTCTATTTCCACTGTAGTTCACATATTCTTGCTTCCCAAAGGAAAATACCATCCAGAGTAAACTGCGGTTTCGAACTAGTCTGAATTGGTCTCGTAAGCAGCCTCAGTGGGTCTTGAATAATGAATGATCGTTTCTTTATATATATAAATATAAATATATATATATGCATAAATAAATAAATATATATATATGCATAAATATATATATATATATATATGCATAAATATATATAAATATACAGAATATAGATTTTCTTCTAACTTTGAGATGAAAAAACGACTTGTCAAAAATAAGTGATCACCATCATCAAATATAGAATATTTATCGAATACGCAAACATTTAGGCCTTTATCTGGGTCACAATCTCTTTTTTGCTGTATAGTAACTGTATTGCCTCATTTTTGCAACTTTTGTCGGGTTGCTGAGGCGATTTCAAAGAACCCATCCTATACTGTGTAGTCAGTCTTTTTTGCAATACCCTTTTCCACAATTGGACTTTGGACTAGACATTAACTTTCCAACAGATAAGTGGTGGGTTGTTGTCAAGGCTGACATTTTTCCCTAACAATGCCGACTACGATGCCGTCTGGAATTGTATCCATTTCTTGCCAGCTATCTCTGAGGAGGCAGTACGAGATCCGTCTCGATCAAGTTGCGAAATGGGATCAAACCACTGTTAGATTATTTAAATTCTACCGATCAAAGTGGGAAAATGGTGGAAAAATACGTCCGTAAACCGGTCTAAATCCGAGCATAAATGCGCTTGTTTGGTCTCATCCTTTAGGTACATTGTCATTATTTCCACTCGCTATGATGGAAAGGGAGAGCATAACTTTCTTAATGGAGTTAATTGTATTTGGTACCCAAAAGCTAGTTCTTCTTCAGCATTCACTGCCATTCTCATCTGCATCCCCGTTGGGATAACATCCGGTGCTGCAGGAGTATAAAAATGAGCTCATTATGAGAGAAAGAGAACCCTATTTATGAAGAATAACTCGCTATTACCACATCATTTCAGACCGCAATATAGTCCGGACCAAAGCTCATCACCAGCTCGAGCGGGTTTCAAACCCGCGGTCAAGCACTTTGACGTAATGTCAGCTATTCTTTTTGGCCGTTGGCCGGAACTCATCTTCATCCCTCGATTGTCTGTAGTTCGCGCCATTTGGGCCATCTATTTTGCCAACAAGGCGCCATTTACCAGACCCGTTGCCCCACCTCGTTTGCCAACATTCTCCTCTGTGTCTCCATGGCAGTCGGCCGAGCTTAATTATAAATAATAATTCGCCAAAATGGATGTTAAAGTCCTTTCAATTATTCGGAGGTCGGTTTAACAATCACAGGACCTACTTCTATTCATCATGCTTCCTTTTCTTCCTTCCAGGCCTGAGTCGGTCTCTGTAAACCTTGCTTCGTGAAACCGAAATTTGCACTTTCGTTTCTTTCTTGATTGGATTTTATTAGCGCATGGTCACGTCCCAGCGTGTCGCCCCTGGCCC